AAATGGCTGCAATATAACAAAGAGTGAAAAATTTAAGGGGGTCTGAATACTTTCCGTACCCACTGTATATATATGTATGTGTGTGTGTATATACAGTATATATGAAACCAATATATATATATATATATATATATATATATTTATTCATTCGGGAGACACTTTCCAAATGATTTTAGTTTCTGTATATTCGATTTTTTCCACCTTCCTTTAACTAAAATAGTTTTTGTTTTACATAATAATAAACTCGACCTGAATGAAAACACCGGTCTCACCCTGTAATAGCTGGTTGTAGACGGAAGACAGTGCTGCAGATCGCAGGACTTTGAGTAACTTTACGCAACAACATGATGATGATTAGGCCGAGATTCTTGTCTTTCTTGCCGAACGTTGTTTATCTCCTGTGAAGCGGAAGTGTCACGCTTGCCTATGGATCGCGGACAAATTAAAAAGTAATTAAATGCCAATAAACAACGAGACAACAATGTCCAGCTAGAGGTAAATGGGTTCTGGACGGAGTGTCCTACAATGCAGCAGAACCGGTTTTATTTCGCCCTTGACTTCCAGTTAGTAGCTCTTCCACTGATCTATATATGATGACTATTATAGATCAGCTGGCTCTTCCCGCTGCAGGTCCGGTGTACGGTGACGCGACTCGAACACTTCTGCTACAAAACGCGTTTGAAATAGCTCTCGAAATACGAAAACTACTGATAAACAAAGCGCTTTGATCCACTGTACAGCTTACTGCCTACCGGAAGTACATGGGAAGAGTTGGGTAACGCTGCTGATCTCAGATCAGCTTCGGGGGAGTTGCTACAATACAGCGGAAGGTTCCTTTGTGTATTACAGTGAAACGAAATGGATATGCTGAACTATTATATGCTGATATGCTATAATAAGCTGAACCAAGATATTTTTATGAGACATTATATTCAATTATGTATAAGATAATATTCCATATATATATATATATATATATATATATATATATGAGCTAACTTGCATATACAAAGCGATTAAATGTTCGCTATACTTACATTATGTCATAATATATAACATGAATTAAAATGTAATTTAAATAGGCCTAATCGAAAAAAAATCATTTAAAATAATTTGTATAGGTGGTAATAATGTACATTTATTCATTTGGCAGACGCTTTTATCCACAGCGACTTACAGTTGAGGAATACAACAAGCGATGTATCATAAGATGGCAATAAACACGAGAAGTGCCCGTTATACAAGGTTTCAGTCATCGTTCAAAATAGTAAAAAGCTAGGACAGGAGGATAGTAAGAGAACAGAAAAAGTGAAATCTTATTATTATTATTATTAATTCTTATAATTAACGTTTAAACAAATATGTAAAGGTTACTTTTCGAGAAAAAGTTAACTTTTTATTGAAAAAAGGTCACTTTTTATTCAAGTTAAGATATCTTTGGGTAGATCATTTTTTTGTACAGGCACGTTCCTATACAAAGTCTTGATTACAAAAAGGCAAAAAGGTTGAACACAATGGCCCAACAGCAAGACAACAGAAAAGTATCAAACCATTGTTTTGACCAACAAATATTGTAATTAATACATTGTATAAATTTACCAAATTTGGACAGTGTGTTCAATTCTAGATAATCATTCAGAGTACTCCATCTGATAGCCTTAAAAATTATTCATCCAAAAGTTAAAATTCTGAAGATTATTTACTTACCCTCGTGTTGTTCCAAATCTGCAACATTCTTTATTTAAGTGGAAAACAAAATTAGAATTTCGAAATAATTTTTTTAGATTTTTTCCCCAATGGCTGTTTGTGACAAAGCCTGTCAAACTGCAAAAGGGGGGGAAAAACACACAATAACAGCACTTAAAATTTAATTCTCATTAAGTCTTTTTCAATAAATTTAGAAATGGCACCTTAATGCATAACACCACATTTGACGTCACTGATCTCATAATGCCATTGATTCTGGCACCTGTTGTAGGTAATGTCAAAGTGACAGTTTGATTTTGCGTATTGAGATTTGAGAGCTGCAGTGGAAGGAAAGATTTTGCATAACTAAAAATGTGTGTTTTACACTAAAATACAACAACCAAGGGTGATTCTATATCTAATTCTATATAACACTGATACAGTAGTGATGCATATAAATACTATTCCTTGTGTTATACAGTATATAAGATAAAGATTGAAACTAAAACACAAAAATGAGACATTAGCATCAAACACTTGACAATTCTCAGAGAATAAATGACTAGTTTCGGAGTTAATTCTATCAAATTTATTTGGAGTGACAGCATGCAAAAGTGACAGTATCTGATGATATTCAAAATGTAACACTTCAACATGGCATTCCATTGAGACTCAGTAATTATGTAGCACCTGAATATTTGGACCTGTATATCTACAAACTCATATAAAAAGGCGCTATGATTATCAGCCATGCAAAGAGACAAAAAAAAAATCATCTCTGGAGTAGAAAATAGAATAAACAACCTATTCTACCCAGAAAGTACCTTTTATGGGGTTAAAGCTTCCTCTGCATGTACCGTTTTAGTACAATCGTTTTATAGTCTGCCTATTTGTGAAGGTACTAGCAAGTCTTTGAAAGGGATTGCTTTCTAAGACCAGGAATCAGAAGAGTTCTTAATCTCAGAAACTGACAATCAAATATTTGTTTCCATGAACCCTGGCTCCAATCAGCAGTACAAAGACAGTTTACAAAGGCAATTTTTAAAGCATACAGCACATAGTACATGAGAGAAAAGCTTTCAGAATTCCTTGGTACACTTTAAAGTACTACTTAGAGACATAATACACCTGATCGATTGTTGCAACCTTTTGAATCCTTTTAAAGGTTTTTGAAGGCATGCCTAGTTTATATCTTGCAATTCTGACTTTTTTTGTCTGAATTCTGAGTTTGCATCTAGCAATTTTTTTTTTTAAGTCATATTGATTAAAAAATAAAAAGGTAATTTTTAATCTCACAATTTTGACTTTTTCCCCCTCACAACTGCGAGATTGTCACAATTCAGAGTTTTCTCAGAACTGCAAGTTAATATCTCATAATTCTGTTTTTTTTCTCAGAACTGCAAGAAAAAAGTCTAAATCGTGCGCTATAAGTTGCAATTACCTTTTTAATTTTTTATCCCGTGATGGAAACAAGCTTCCATACTTTATTCTTTTTATAGAAGGGTTTACTTAAAATTAAAGTTTTCATTTATCACTGTTATTTTAAAAGCATTTTTGTATTCTAGTGAACATCATGTCGGTCATTTAAAAGGTGTGTAAAGCAAATTTGCTTTTAGAAATATTTTCAGGAAAATCATGAGATCTTAATCAAAGCCCTTCCAGCAATTTGTGGAAACATTTAAAGAAAATAACAGGACTCTGAAAAAATAAGCCAATTCTTTTCAGTCATCTAGATGGCCAGAACCCTATTGTGGCTAATACCACAAAGACAAAATAGATTTTGAAGTCTGTGCTATGCAAGACTTCCTACCCTTCTGTAAACCCTGTTCCTACCGTCAAGGACAAACACTAACTCTAAACAGCTGCACTGATACAGTAAACTACATCTCTGTCAGTCACAGAGTAGAACTCAGTTATCATGTGATTACAAACCTCTCTGCTTTCACTCCTTCACTTGTGCATCGACGGTTACATCCTTCATTACATTACATCCACAAAAAACTCACTGGGGTTGCCCATGGCCAAGTGGAAAGACTGCCTAGAGGCAGTTAGCTCAGGCGGGACGGAGCCCAGGTCTCGGGTTGGTGGAGCTCCTGGAGGCCCACCAGGGGTGCCGGAGGGGGGCAAGCCAGGGTGGAGCGGCAAAGTAGGCGTTTGTGGGTGTGGAGCTCCAAGTGCTAGGTGTGGGTGTGGATGTTGGGGCACCATCATCACCATCATTGGGTTGTAAGGGATGGGGATTCCAGGCGGATATGGGGCGAGATGAGCAGACGGGACACGATGATGCGAGCGCTGGCTCGAGCGCTGACTCGAGCGGCTGTGTTCGCTAGGTGTGGCTGAGCCGTGGTCTCGCCTCAGGCTGCTGCGAACAGAGTAATCTGATTCGCTGCCGCTACCAGAATGCGAGTCAGCCCCGCCCCCACCAGGAGATTTATCGTCACGTACGCTACCGCCCGCCGTGCTGCCAGATACGCTTTTACTGCCCCTTCTCTTCTCTCCGTCACTGCGTGTGGAGCCACTACTGTGACTCCCTGAGAGAAACCGAGACAAGAACACAACAGGGTGTTGACAGGGCTTGATTATTACTATTACTAAAATACCATTATATACATTTAAAATAACACAGATGAAAACAAAACTTAATAAATACAAATGAAAATAAATAAGTGCAGCATATTTGTCCAGCACTTTCTCAATTTTAGTTCCATAATGAAAATAAATGGATATACACTACCATTCAAAAGTACAATTTTTAAATGTTTTTTTTTTTTTTAAAAGAAAAAAAAAAAAAAGTCTTGTGAGGCTGCATTTAAACCATTAGTTAAAACAGTAATTCTGTGAAATAGTATTACAATTCAAAATAATTGTTTTCTATCTAAATATTTTTTTTAAATGCAATTTATTCCTGTGATGGTAAAGCTGAAGCCATTATTCCAGTCTTCAGTGACACATGATCTTTCAGAAATCATTCTAATACGCTGATTTAGTGCTCAAGAAACAATTCTCATTATTATCAATGTTGAACAGTTGTGCTGCTTAATATTTTTGTGAAAACCGTAATACATTTTTTTCAGGATTCTCTGATGAATAGAAAGTTAAAAAAAAAGAACAGCATTTGTCTGAAATATAATTTTTTTATAGCAATGTAAAAGTTATTACTGTCACTTTCGATCAATTTAATGCTACCTAGCTGAATAAAATAATAAATAAAAAAATTTAAAAAAATCTTACTGACTTCAAACCTTCGAACAGTAGTGTATATGGATTTTCAAGAAATCTCTAGCAGTTTGTTCACAATTTGTGCCATGGGCGTGCACTGAGCGTCAGTGTAGTTTGTTACCTTCACTGTGCTGGCTGCCTGCACTGCCTGGGCCGTAGCTGTAGTTGGAGAGCTCATGGTAGGGAGGTGGCTGGGTGGAATAGGGGTGAGGGTACTGGTACGTGAAAGAGTGGAGCAGAGGCCATGGTGTTGCTCCCGGCAATGGAAGAGGGGCCAGAGTGTCCTGGTCTGATGCACCGCTGGAACCATCATTATCGTTAAGGGAAAGGTTGGCCATGTCTGAGAGGAAGAAAAAATGAGAGATTAAATAACATTTATGCATTTGGGCAAAAATAACATTTATTTTGCTGTATGTGTATTTTTTTTCTCTTTAAAACATGAAGCTGATTTTACTTACAATTTTCACAGTTACTGAAGTCTCCAAATATGTAATAACACTGTTCGGAGAAGGTGATTTTGTTAACAGTGTGTCTGATGAAACCAGCCTTTAGTAGGTTACTGGCATATTTACGAGCTTCCCGTCTGTCCTGAAACCCATCAATGTGATGATGCAACCACTCAACGACATCAGAGCCTATTCACACAATCATAAAGTCAGAGAAAAACAAACACTGGATTAGATTGAAGGTCCATTTGTCTCATAGTTACAACGATCATTTAGGAACAGTGTGTAAATACAGTCTCGGGTAAAAGTCTCTGACCTAGGAAAGCATTGGGAATGGTGATCTTCAGCCACATTCGGTCTCTGACCTCCAGACCGGACTCAGGAGATGCCATGGCCTTAGCAACCGATGCCATGTCAGAGCGAAG